CACTGATTTGCTCACCCTGTATAATAATTTCAATGTATAAATATTTATCTTATTGATTTTATGAAAATAAAAATCCATTAGTAACAATAACAAATTTAATAAACATAATTACTTTATTACATAAAATAATTAATTAATATTAAAAAACAAATAAATGCAAGGTATTTTTTTTTGTAAAATTACAGCAAACACTTTACATATAGATCAGATACAAAAATTAATATAAAAATTAAATGTTTCGAGTTAATTAAACTTCGTTTTGGCAGCAATTTGTAGTGCAACTTAAAATGGCTTATGGCTACTTATAACTCTTCAACTTCACAGCAATGGCAATTCACTACCTTGCCTGTTGCTTACCTGGTTTCAGTGAATTAAAATAATAAATACAAAAATACTAAGGTTTCCTAGTGGGTTGAGAAGTGCATAATGGCACTTGAACGTTGAACTTTAAAACTACTTAAGCAGTGCAAATTATGTTCTGTTAACTCAGCATTTAATTCATTTAATAATTTCCATTAAATCATAGAAATTTGATATAGCCATGGCACGCGGGCAAGGAACCACTGACCGAAGTGGTCAATAAAATTTAAATACCGGACCATAAACTGAGCTGTGGTCAATTTGTTGCGTTGCACATCATCGCAGCCAAATTGCATACACATTTGCGGTCTTTTAAAAGTCAATGGATGCGTGACATGTTCAGTTGATAGTTTGACATTCATAGAGTATTTTTAGTTACCAATGATGTTGTAGTGATACCTTGTTTCAGTGACCTTAAATTCAAATAACATTTGATATTGCTAGCAACAACAAGGGAAGTGCAGTGGAATTTGTTGCGATTGCACTTTACTGGTTGCATTGGTGTCGGGTTCCTTAAACACAGTACGGATTTCAATAGCAACAACGCAGACTGAGCAACAGAGTGGACTTTAACATACACTGTTCACTCCATGGACAATCGCCTCTTCTAAGTATGGTATATTTCAAATATCACTGTCCACTGTCCTCCTGGTCACCCTGGTATGATTGCCCTGTGGCTAAAGTATCAATCAAAGCATATTTGTGACTAATTTACACGAGACATTGTTGTCAGTTGCATTGGCCCGTAGGCCATATGTACGTAGCGCTTATGTATTGACGGACATGAACTCTTTGTAAATTGATTTGCTTTGTACTCGATTTTTCGTACTGCCCTCATTTCACTAATTAAACTAATAAACCAGATACCTGTACATTTTATTTCATTTTATTGCACAGTGAATTCTTCAAAAGGGGCTACGATAAATGCTCGAAATTTAATATAATTTAATTAAATTTTTATTTGCGCTGCATTCATACATAAATTTTATAGTTTAGTTTATTAGTCAAAATTTATATTACTTTTTTTTGCTATAAAAATGCTTTCATTTTTATATTTTTCTATGCAGGAAAGAGTTCAACTGTAACATTAATGAAATACGCCGACCATGAATTTTTGTACTATAATTAATGGAAATAAGATTGTGAAGGGGAAAGATAATGAATTTTTAAAAATAGCTCAGATGCAATATTTTTCGGTTAAATTACTGCACATGTAATTATATTTACTGTAATATCCATTTATAAATAAATATTGCTTTGAAAGAGATAATTTACGTTTTGTTTAAAAACTAAATTTATGTTTCAATATTTCAATGTCAGTGTCATTCATCTAAAAGAATGATAATTATATATTATATATGAAGAATTATATATTTTATATTAATAATTATTATATTATTATATATATATATATATTATACAAAAATAGTTTAATTATATATATTAGTAAATTTAATTATTGCCTAAAAACAGATTTTAAGTAAGTATATCATATAAAAAAAATACCTTATTCTAAATGTATGTATAAACATATATACCCACTTAGTACTATTGAGTACTAAGCACAATTTTTTATTAAATTATCATTGAATATAAATTTCAAAAATTACAATTTTTTCCCACTACATTATAAACTACGTAAGATTAACAATATTTATATATATATACTTAAGAACTTGCTTCTACAAAGTCCGTTCCAAAGTACAGAGGACAATTTAAAAACAGAAATTTGTAGCGTTATCTGTTGGCAATTACTTGCCGTAATAAGGTAGATCGTTCATCAATGTATTATCAAAATTTCCTAAAATAAGACATATAAATGAAAACCACTTCATCTGAAAAAACCGTACTTCAGAATGTCGGTACAATAACTAAAGATGACTTTTACATTTATTAAACACTTTTCTTCAATGAATAAATGTGATAAATTTGAAAAGGAATCTTTCAAAGATTAAAGTCGAAAGTAAGTATTAATATTAGTGATATATCTGAGCATAAAATATGTTTTTGCTAGAGATTTTATACCTATACATTAATCGAAATAAATCTTCCGTGTCTTAGCACTTATCAAGTTATAACGGAATCGGCATTGTTACAAAACACTATGGTATTGACTGGAATAAACTGCATCTGCAGCAATAGTGGTTCGGAAAGTTAATATACGTTAGTCACACATAGACGTAGATAGTAGTCAAAAAGGCCGTAGTTGAAGACAAATGTCTGCTTATCAGAACACATCGAAAGCAGCAATGCAAAGAGTAGTTAAAAAGAAATGAAGTCTCAAAAAAATATGAAGTCTTATAAGATTCATCAGACTTATAAGAAAACTCATAAGAAAACAACAAATTATTATCGATGTTTAAGAACAGCAAACTCGATAGAATAAAGAAGTTGTTGCTTTTGCACTAATGCGACTAATTACCTAAAATTTACTTTGATAAGAAAAATTTAAGCCATCTATAAACAAAAAAATCGACTACACAGGATAGTTTTCTAATGGTCAAAGAAATGCAAACACTATACCAAGCTTAATGTAAAAGTCTTAGAAGCTCTAAAGCAGGGGAAAACCAAATATTCTGATGAAAAAGAATATTTTAAACAAATTCTGCACGATCACACAAGGGATCGTGCAGAATTAACAATGGATTCAATTTTGGTTCAATTAAGTCACCTTGTATTTCAAATAATTCATGGATCCGTCAGTAATAGAATTCAATGAAAGCTAATGAATGTGTAAATACTTAATACTTTTAATCTAAACTAATCCAAATGCAGGGTCGATTGAAAATTGTGTGTGGGTATATAGCAAACCCACTTTCAAGTTAATGGCTTTTTCGTTTGGTAAATCTAGTTACAAATTATATTTACTCTCGATCTTTCAAGTTTTGTTGTCCAATCGAATATTTTTAGAGTCATCTAATATTTCCGTAGTTGTATAGACATTTACATATTTCATACATACATATGAATCAAATCATACTTTATTTATCAATTCAGTTAAATCATCTGTTAATTTCAAGGTAATCTTGCTATAGTGGCAAAATATCTGAAGCGTTATAAATTAAAAATATCGATTGTTATACATTTACCAATCCTAGCAGTAAAAGTAAATCCCGATTGAAAAGGTTACCCCAGATTTACCAACCGAAGTTGGCATAAAAATATATCGTTAAATCCGATTGATTGTTAAATCAAGTATTGTTATAAGAGATTTCAATTGTATTATCTGATTTTAAGAAAAAAATAAAAACAATCGTTGAATTGATAATAATAGAAATTTGGTTTTGTATGTAAACATGCAAGTCTACAATTTAAAATTAATGGGGTTCATTAATACATTCATACATATATCCAGTCCAAATATTATAAACATGCAATTAAACAAATAGATGTTTACAACGATCACTGATGGTGGTTAATAGGTGATATCTAAAACAGTTAACTGTTCCATTTAACAATTAGGTTAGATGAAGTTAAGAAGGGAATAAATTAAGGAAAAAAGCCGTTTTAAATACACATTTTGGCTTGAAACCTTCCTCAATATTACCACGTTTTTTATTCGTTTCGGATTTTTGGTATAAGGACATAAAATTCTCAACTAAAGAAAAAATAATGAAGTAATTCATTATTTTAACGAAAAATTTTATATTTCAATAAATTAAATTATATTAATTAATATTAGGTATTTATTAATTCAATAAATAAAATTAAAAGAATTATTTTTAATATTAGACTGAAATATGTTTTTCATGTTTCTTTTTTTTGTTAATTAAGTGGGTTCACCCAATATATCCAACCCTGTATTTGATTTTTTTTAATTAAACAATTCCAGAATTTTTTAATCCAATATTAATGAATATTTTTTTTAATGCTCAAATTCATGAAAAAAAAATAATCGCCAACATAAATGATCTGAAATCGATTATTTAGAGAGTAAAAGCGTGAAATCACTGCGTGGGTCCACATTCTTAACACAATCAACTAATTTATCGCATGCTACACAAAAGTCATTACGCTGCCGGTAAACATTCAACACTGAACACAGAACACTGGACTGAACGCACAGACGACAGTGGCACTTGCTTTCGATGGATCCTAAGTAAATGAAATAAGAAAAATAAAAATACATTTTTATCATAACAAAAGCGAAGAAAATTATGTTGAGCAAGGCCAAGTGGAACGAAAATACAATTAACGTCATCACTACTGTAGGCAACTGTGCAGTGAGTCACCAGCTGCGTACAGCAGAAAGTAAAATGTTTGTTGTTATCTGCAGAAGCAAGTGCCGAAGAGCAGCCAAGAGATTTGATTGCGAAGCAAAGCAACAGGCAAAATTATTGAGTAAATAAATTCCAATCGTTAATTAACATTTCTTCGTCAAACATTTCAGCAGGCACTGCAAAACTGCGCTTGTGTTAGTGTATGCGGGCGAGTGTGTCCGAAGTAAACGATCAACACCGCGTGAAACAACTGCTGTGTACTTTTGATTCATTAGCGCATAAGTGGAGAAGGTAGAAAAGAATAAGCTATTGAGTTAGTAAAACTATGAGGAAACGAGTAGAGCGTATATGTTAAAAATGTTATTTGCGCTGATATATGTAAAGAGTATCTATGAGAGCGTTTTAACTTAAAATTGAGATACATTTCAGTATCTGCTGTGATTTCATAGTGTCTGGGTGTGTTTGAAAAACGGGCAAGATACGAACGCAATGAAGTGTATCTTAATTAATTAATTAATGGAATATTAATGAAAAACGGTTTCATTGAAAATTAATGCGCGAGTGCTAAAAAATTATTGCGTATTTTCGATTAATAAGAGAAACATAAAGAAAACATTGACATATAAATGATTGTGTAACCAATTCTACAAGCAGCTACTAAAATCATACAATAAAACGAGAATTTTAGTGTTGTGTCTTTATGTAAATAAAATACCTAATAACCAAAAAAAAAATTAATTTTAACTGCCCACGTATAACGAAAATATTAATAACCAAACAAGTTCAAAAATTCTTGGAATTTCAACGCGAAAGCTAGCGCCAGATATAAAGATACAAATTCCAACAAACACGTACATAATTTTCTATTACTGCCGTTGCTGTCTGAAATAACCAGAGCATCATGCAAGCGATTAAGTGTGTTGTTGTTGGCGATGGTGCTGTCGGTAAAACCTGTCTACTGATCAGCTATACGACAAATGCATTTCCAGGCGAATACATTCCCACCGTATTCGACAACTATTCAGCCAATGTAATGGTTGATGCGAAACCCATCAATTTAGGTCTCTGGGATACAGCAGGTCAAGAGGATTACGATCGTTTGCGTCCACTTTCCTATCCACAAACAGATGTTTTTCTGATCTGCTTTTCGCTGGTCAATCCGGCATCTTTTGAGAATGTACGCGCAAAATGGTATCCAGAAGTGCGCCATCATTGTCCAAATGTGCCAATCATATTAGTTGGCACTAAATTGGATTTACGCGATGACAAAGGCACTATTGAGAAACTCAAAGATAAAAAGCTCACACCCATCACATATCCACAGGGCTTGGCTATGGCTAAGGAGATTGGCGCTGTTAAATATTTGGAATGTTCAGCACTGACACAAAAAGGTCTGAAGACTGTTTTTGATGAGGCCATACGTTCGGTACTCTGTCCCGTTATGCGTGTGAAAAGGTCG